AGGTTCTTACAAGTCCTATCAATCAGGCAAACCGAATCCGGGTCCTCTCTTCGCCATGTTGTGAGGAGGTTTTTAGGCGCTGATGCGTGCCTGTGTTCGGTGCCCTGCAGCGCATGCTCTGCTCTGCCCGCAGGGGATTACAAGCCCTAACAATCAGGCAAACCGAATCCAAGCCTTCTCATTGCCGTATTGTGGGGGAGACTTATTAGTGTTGGTTCGTGCCTATCTTCGGTGACCTGTAGCTCATACTCTGGTCGAGCTGCCTGCTGGTGCTTACCGCCTTACTAATCAGGCAGACCGAATCCAAGCTCTCTCATTGCTGTGTTGTGGGGAGGCCTTATTGATGTTAATTCGTGCCTGTCTTCGGTGACCCGCGGCGCATAAGCTGCTAGCCGCCCGCAGGTGCTCATCGCCTCACTAATCAGGCAGACAGAATCCAAGCCTTCTCATTGCAGTATTGTGGGGAGGCCTTTCTATTTCTCTATTTCTCTATCTCCGGGCATTCCTATTTCTCCCATTTTGCTTCTATCTTCCAGCATTCCTATTTCTCTCATTTTACTTCTATCTTCCAGCATTCCTATTTCTCTCATTTTACTTCTAAACCTCTGTCTCTCCTATCCCCGCGGCTTCCCGGTGCCCGCCCCGAGGCTGCTTCTCGGCGGCTTCCCGGCTGAGCCGCTTCAGCCCGCACCTCTCTCATCTGCGCGGCTTCCCGGCTCTGCGCGGCTCGGCTTCACGCGCACATTCCGCGGTCTCCACGCCCCTTCACGTCCGCACCACGGCCTCGCGCCAGCCCCACGTTCCCTATCTATTCACGCCCCGTGCTCTCTCTGCGCACGGCAGCCTCCGCGAATCACACAGCGTAGCTTGCGTCTCCGCCACTAGCATTCAATCCAAGTTCCCCGGGCTAACCTGGCGAATTCAACCCAGCTCACGTCTCCGCCCCACGATTTGGCTTCCCGTCTTTTGCTCCCCGGGCTAATCAGACGGATCCCAATCTGGCTTACGTTTCCGCTTCTGGTTTCAACTTTTCGCCCCCTATTCCCGGGCTAACTTGAGAATCCCAAAGTGGCTTTCGTTTCCGCCTCGGCCTGCCCCCTGCGGCTTCAATTTCCCTAACATTTTTCTCTACCCGGTATGTTTCCCCAAGCTTTCCTCCAACAATACTCCTCCCTCATTTCTCCTGGCCTCTCCCCACAGTCCGTATCCAAGTCTGTTTGTTCTAGCTTTCACTTTCGCCTTCGACCTTAGAGATTTCTCCCAGCTTCCCCCCGTAGTCCGTATCCGAGTCTATGCCTAGGCTTTCAATAGCTTCTTCCGGCACCTTTTTCATCTGGCTTTTCCCTAGGCTGTTTGCTAGTCTCTCTCTCCGAAATTTTCCCACTTCTTCCCGTTTCTTCCCTCCTAAGTTTCCTATCCGTCCTAGGTTTCCTATCCGAGTCACGGCACCATTATGTCGCTCCCCCTCTTCGTGGAGGAACGACACAGGACCCTGCACTGTTCTTTTGTCTGCTCGGCCCTCCCCGGGTTTGCTGCTGGTTCTTCCCGGGTTGGCTACTGTCCCTTCCACCTCCGTGGAAGGGCAGTTCCCCCTGGCCACATTCCCCACTTCCGCAGGGGAGCGGCACACCGCCGGCCGGCTCTCTCGGGGGCTGCACAGGTGTTCCCTCAGATGTTCCCCTTAGATGTTCCTGGTGCATGCCGTCTCTCTCCTCCTTTATAGTCCTCCTCTGCCAATCCCAACTCGGCTGCCCACACGCCGAGTACGCTGCTCTCCTCCAATCAGGAGCAAGTCCTACAGCTTATTGGCTGAACTGGAGGCAGCTGTGTAGAAGCTGTTTTCTTCTCTCCCAGCGCCATATTGTGGGAGAGCAGATGCATAGAATAAGTCTTAATTCCAGTAACTTAGTCTAGTCCGGGTTGCTCCCCACAGACACAACAGTTAGCACTGGGCCAAGCTGAAGTCAGGAGCCAGGAGCTTCTTCCCGGTTTCCCATGTGGGTGTCAGGGGCCCATGCACTTGGCCCATGTTCTGTTGCTTTTTCCCAGGCAATCAGCTGGGAGCTGGACCAGAAGCAGCACAGTGGGGACACAAATCTGTGCCCATATGGGATGCCAGCACTGCAGGAGGCAGCTTTACCCACTAAGCCACAATGCCAGCCCTGAAATTTAGCTTTGTAAGGTAAAGCAAGGTTCTAATCATTTCCTACATTTAGAGAGCCTACTGTTGCCAAACAATCTTTAGACACAGTGTCCTGTTTATTCCAAGGGATGTGACCCTTCTGCTTGCAACACATTGTTGTAATTACTGTAACTGTATCATAAATCTTTTTTTAAAATAAATCTTATCGGCCGGCGCCGTGGCTCAATAGGCTAATCCTCCGCCTTGCGGTGCCAGCACACCGGGTTTTAGTCCTGGTCGGGGCGCCAGATTCTTTCCCAGTTACCCCTCTTCCAGGCCAGCTCTCTGCTGTGGCCAGGGAGTGCAGTGGAGGATGGCCCAAGTGCTTGGGCCCTGCACCCCATGGGAGACCAGGAGAAGCACCTGGCTCCTGCCTTCGGATCAGCGCGATGCACCGGCCGCGGCGGCCATTGGAGGGTGAACCAATGGCAAAAGGAAGACCATTCTCTCTCTCTCTCTCTCTCTCTCTCTCTCACTGTCCACTCTGCATGTCAAAAAAAAAAAAAAATCTTATCTTGCAGGGCAAGTTTTTACGTCTTTTTTTTTTTCTTTTTTCAAGATGTACTGGGTATTTTTTCCAACTTCTTTCATTTCTAAAAGAGAATGTTAGGATCAACTTAGTGTAAAGGAAACTGCATTAATTCATACACTTGAGGGAAACCGGCATCTTCACAATATTGAACATGACATTTTTTTATTCCATGGAAATACTATTTTTATTTTCAAAGATTTATTTTATTTGAAAGTCAGAGTTACAGAGAAGGTGAGGCAGAGACATACCCTTGCTGGTTCACTCCCAAAAGGCTACAATGGTCAGGGCTGGGCCAGGAATAAGCCAGGAGCCAGGAGCTTCTTCCGGGTCTCCTACATGGGTACAGGGCCAGAGCACTGAGACCATCTTCTGCTGCTTTCCCAGGCCATAGCAGAGATCTGGATCAGAAGTGGAGCAACCAGGACTTGAATTGGCACCCAAATAGGATAATGGTACTGCGGGGGGCAGCTCTATCCAGGACGCCACAGTGCTGGCCCCTTCTATACAATTTTACACACCTTGTTAGATTTATTCTTCTTTAAAAGTTTTATTTATTTGAGGAGAGAGAAAGAGAGCGATCAGGAGGGAGAGAAAGAGCTCCCATCCACTTGGTCATTCCCCAAATGCCCATAATGGTGGGACTGAGCCATGCCAACGTCAGGCGCCAGGAATTCAATCCAGGTTTGCCGCCTGGACTGAGCGGCAGGAATCCAAGCACCTGAGCTGTAACACTGTCTCCAGGGCCCACTGCTTTCTTTCTAGCAGGAAAGCTGCAGCCAGGAATCAAATCCAGGTACTCTCAATGCAAGCATTTTAAGCACAAGGATACACACCCTCTCCTGTTAGATTTATTCTTAGTTGCCTTAAAGTTTATACTGCTACTGATAATAGTTTTTAAAAACTTACTATTCCAAGCCAGCTTTTGCTGGTACATTGCAATGCTATTGTTTTTATTTACATTGATTTTATATCCACCATTCTTCCAAACTGTCTCATCAATTCTAATAGTTTGTGGAAAAACACAATTTGCAGACAATGATCATGTTTTCTTTTCCTTACTAATCCTTATGTCACTCAATTCTTACAACCACATACAGTAAATTCTGTAGTTTCATTAATGTTTGTCAAACCTTTTTTTTCTATAATTATTAAAAAATAAAAGGAAACTTCTATACAGTTTTTGGGTTTGCATTAACAAGCATGATCAATGTGTTTCATATAATTAACTCCTAAGTAGCTTTCATGTATCAACTTAAGTCTAGAATAAGAGATTTTTGGTTACATCAATAAATGTCTTTTAAGATACTTGAGGGGCTGGCACTGTGGCCTAGCAGGCAAAGCCACTGTCTGCAGTGCCGGCATCCCATATGGGCACGGGTTTGAGTCCCGGCTGCTCCACTTCCAATCAAGCCCTCTGCTGTGGCCTGGGAAAGCAGTAGGAGATGGCCCAAGTGCTTGGGCCCCTGCACCCACATTGGAGACCTGGAAGAAGCTCCTGGCTCCTGGCTCCTGGCTCCTGGCTTCAGATTGGCCCAGTTCCAGTTGTTGCCGCCATTTGGGGAGTGAACAAGCAGATGGAGGATCTCTCTCTGCCTCTCTGTAACTCTGCCTTTCAAATAAATAAATAAATAAATCTTTAAAAAGTATAAAATCCTGGCCGGCGCCGTAGCTCACTAGGCTAATCCTCCGCCTTGCGGCGCCGGCACACGGGGTTCTAGTCCCAGTCGGGGTGCCGGATTCTGTCCCGGCTGCCCCTCTTCCAGGCCAGCTCTCTGCTATGGCCCGGGAGTGCAGTGGAGGATGGCCCAAGTGCTTGGGCCCTGCACCCCATGGGAGACCAGGATAAACACCTGGCTCCTGCCTTCGGATCAGCGCGGTGCGCCGGCCGCAGCGTGCCGGCCGCGGCGGCCATTGGAGGGTGAACCAACAGCAAAGGAAGACCTTTCTCTCTGTCTCTCTCTCTCACTGTCCACTCTGCCTGTCAAAAAATAAAAAATAAAATAAAATAAATTAAAAAAAAGTATAAATTCCTGATGTTCAAGATGGGACTCATTTGCTTAAAGCTTTATGATCTTGCAAGCGACTCTGAGTCTTACTCTCATCGGTAAAATAGAGATAAAAAAACAGCCAGCCCTGTTAAAATTTCAAAAATTTCTATTCCAGTTGTGAACTGAACATGATACTGTATATAAAGCACTCAGAACAGTACCTAGCCATTACTGTTATTATCTTCAAAGGACACATACCAAAAACCTGTTTCTGTTTCGCATACAGACAAGTACTCACCATGTGACAAATCATGTACTGTGCTACAAAATGCTTCACAAAGTGTGAATTTGGACTCATTTTCCCTCTCTCCATTCATTATTTCATTCTGTATGAATAAACAAGGCAATAGTATTAACACTTCAAGAGGACACCATAAGCTTCTTTCAAAGGTGCGCGTGCACTGCTATGTAATTCTGTTAGAATTTGATGTTGCACAGGAAGAATGAGCTTTCTAGTATCTTTCTTCACTGTACGCCTTTAGCTTTTAGTAACACCATGCTAATGTAGTCATGGATTAAATGACAGGTCAATACTTTAACATTTTAGATCTCTGATGTCTTACATGACTACAAACAGGAATCTATGATAGCATATGCTATCTCTGATAATTCTTTGATGTTTATTAAATCTGGTCTAAACAGCATTAAAGTAGTTGTTACTATAATCTTTGAATACTGAAAACATACAACAAGAGTTCTAATAATGCAATGACATTAGAGTCCTTGAACTAGGAATTTATAAAACTTCATGTAGTCTATTCTCACTGTGAAGGGTGATTTGCTTTATTCAAAGTGTGCTGATTCAGGCCGGCGCTGTGGCTCAATAGGCTAATCCTCCGCCTTGCAGCGCCGGCACACCAGGTTCTAGTCCTGGTCGGGGCGCCAGATTCTGTCCCGGTTGCCCCTCTTCCAGGCCAGCTCTCTGCTGTGGCCCGGGAGTGCAGTGGAGGATGGCCCAAATGCTTGGGCCCTGCACCCCATGGGAGACCAGGAGAAGCACCTGGCTCCTGGCTTCTGATCAGCGCGGTGTGCCGACCGCGGCAGCCATTGGAGGGTGAACCAACGGTAAAGGAAGACCTTTCTCTCTGTCTCTCTCTCTCACTGTCCACTCTGCCTGTCAAAAAATAAATAAATAATATTCTTGAAAAATAAATAGCACTATTCATACTTTGATTTTATATTTCATATTTTTTGGGACTACTACTCATAGAAATTCAAAAAAATGACTTCCAACTCTAGTCTTTTCTGATAGTCCAGTTTTTAATTAAAATGTCTTTTGTTCCTTTGGTCCATAAGGATATAATGCTTACTGAAATTCAAGATAGAAGAACCTGTTATATAATTTAAGACATCCATTTCTTTAAAATTAGTATCTTGGACACAATTCAACACTGTAATAATATGATATTTCTTTTTCAAAATGAAAGAATTATAGAATTATAAAAAAGAATCTTGGAACATTGCTTAGAAATACTAAAAAAAAAAAAAAAAAACTTACTATCCAGAGAGTCAACAAATATGTACTTGTACATCCTATATATTATATCTAAGGTTACATGTCTACCATACAACAATTAGCCCCAGACCAATGGAAATTTAGGGTTTTTTTTTTTTTTTTTTTTTTTTTTTTGACAGGCAGAGTGGACAGTGAGAGAGAGAGACAGAGAGAAAGGTATTCCTTTGCCATTGGTTCACCCTCCAATGGCCGCCGCGCTGATCTGAAGGCAGGAGCCAGGTGCTTCTCCTGGTCTCCCATGGGGTGCAGGGCCCAAGGACCTGGGCCATCCTCCACTGCACTCCCTGGCCACAGCAGAGAGCTGGCCTGGAAGAGGGGCAACCGGGACAGAATCCGGCGCCCCGACCGGGACTAGAATCTGGTGTGCCGGCGCCGCTAGGCGGAGGATTATCTTGTTGAGCCACGGCGCCGGCCCCAAAATTTAGGTTTTTTTCTAAGAGCTGGTTATGATAGACAAATCTTTAAACAACCTGTTTGAATTCTTCCTAGAGATGGAATTTTAAAATATGCAAGGGGCAGGCACTGTGGTACAGTGGGTCAAGCCACCACCTGGGATGCCTGCGTCCCAAATGGGAGTGCCAGTCTGAGTTCTAGCAGCTCTGCTACAGATCCAGCTTCTTGCTAATGCACTTAGGAGGCAGCAGATGGTGGCTCAAGCACTTGGTCCCCTGCCACCCACAGGGGTTACAAACGGAATTCCAGACTTCTGGCGTTGGCCTGGTCCAGCCCTGGCTGCTGCAGGCATTTGGGGAGTGAACCAGAAGCAGCAGATGGAAGACTGATAATCTCACGAGCTGGTGCCAGGGTGTAGAGCGTAAAGCCGCTGCCTGCACTGCTGGCATCCCTTACGTGCGCCGCTTCAAGTCCTGCTGCTCCACTTCTGATCCAGCTCTCTGCTGTGGCCTGGGAAAGAGCAGATGGAAGTGCTTGGGCCCCTGCACCCGCATGGGAGACCTGAAGTAGCTCCTGGCTCCTGGCTTCGGACCAGCTCAGCTCTGGCTTTTGCGGCCATTTGGGGAGTGAACCAAGGTTGGAAGACCTTTTTCTCTGTCTTTACCTTTCTCTGTCTGTAACTCTATCTTTCAAATAAATAAATAAAATATTTTAAAAAATAATTTAAAATAAAAAAATCACAATGTGATTACATATATTAAAAAAAAACATGGTTTAACTCTTGATTTCCCATTACTAAGCAGCTCTTTAGAATGGCTTTGCCAATTTATAGCATGAACCATGTGAAATTGTAAACATTTGCCCATTTTGAACTACAAAAAGGCAATGTCATATGGTTCAATATAATACAGTCTGATTACTTCTCCATACCTTGCCAGTAACTGTCAAACATTCAGAACAATATCCATGACCATGGACATGACAATCTGCTTTGTGAGAAGGGGCACTAGGAAGTTTCACGGAGATGGGGAGTCATTTGTATGCAAGATGCTGAGTGTCAAACGACTTAACCAACACAGTGGTGGGGGCACTGACCAAGGGTCGGGCCCCCTGGGCTCTCACACCGTCCCTGTGACTGAGGTACTAGACATGTTCTCTGGCTGCACTCTTGGGACTTCATGAAGAGGCTACCAAGGACCACTTTTTAACACTCTATCTGTAAAATTCTCCCTTTTCTTTGTACACTGACGGAACTGGGAGAACCAGGCCCAGTATCCACCCCGACTCCCCACTCCACGTGTCCACTCAAGATTCTTTATTCCTGCTTCTGGAGACGTTTTCAGCCGGAAGAGAACTGAACGCTGGACGCAAGGCACACCTGGGACAAATCTGAAAGGGTGCTGATGGTTTCCACACAGTTGGGAGAATCTGAGCACATCAAGTCCTTCAAGCGCACCAAGTCCTGGGGAAGACCGCTGACGCTCACGGCATCCGATTCTGACATACTTGCTAATTTTTCGTGAGACGCATCCATTTCAAAATGTGGGGGCCGGAAGGTGATGACGAAAATGTTTGACAGTGCTTGTCCTAACTGTTGAACGATGGAAGGCCTCTTTAAAAAAGCGTAATGTCAGTTAGTAAATGCAGACAAAAAGGGGTTTCCCCCACCCCTCCTCGCATTAGGAAGGCAGCAAAGCTTGCTGCCCTAAATTCTAAAATGTCACTTATCAAGCTGCTAGAAAAACTACCAATTTCAGTCTGAGTATGTCATAGTAACTTGGTTTGGTACTAAACACCAATTTGGATAAAAGTGAGTATGTGCAGCTATTATCCAATTCTCTAAAAGGCTTGGACTTACACCCAGTGAAGGTACTTCTCAGTTTGTCAACCAACGGATACGCAAAAATGTTATTATGGACCTATTAGCTTCCACAAAACACTATTGCCATTTACTTAACCAATACCTGTCATTTGAACACTTCATTACCAAGTCAAATCAGAGAGAGTAAATTTAGTTTGCCTCCCTCATTTCCTGTGCCATATCTATTCTTTCAGGCACCCGGGTTTGAAATTCTGGGGGCATCTTGGCATCCCTCTACCTCACTGTCCACAGGTATTTGCCTACAATTCCTGCTCATTTTTCCTCTAAAAATGTCTTCCTGTGACTCGTGCTTTCTTTCCATCCTGCATCATCCTCGTGACCTCCTCAGGTCTGCAGGGGACCGAGTCCGGACTCTGCTTGGCCGTGCAGAGCCTGCACCCTCGTGACCCACCCAGTACTCCCCTGCTCGTGAGATCAGCCCATTTCCCTGCATAGCTGAGGCTCCTGGCCACCTCCGCAACCTGTTCTGCCACGTGCTCCTCTCCTAAAACCGTCCCCTCTACCCACTCATTCATTCAACTTCCTTCAATGTCTTTAGCCTCTCAATGCCCAGTTTGAAGGGAGTCGGTGTTTGCATTTAGAATTTATAAATGTCTCGCGGGGTCCACCTAAGGCTTCTCGACACCCTCTACCACAATCAGGCCAGTGTTGTGTACACAGTAAACACTGACTTGAATAAAATACTGCATGATTTATTTCTGTTAAGTTCAGTCACTGTCACTACCCATTTGCCTGGTCTAATCATTTTGTGGAATCACTGAACTGATAAACAGTTTATCGACGATTAGTCATTTTGAATCCATGCCATTATTCCACAAAGTGTGAGTCAGTACGCCAGGGGCCTGCGCTGTGCCGTGGCAGGTACGGCTGCCATTTGCAGAGCTAGCATCCCACGTGGGGGCTGGTTCGAGTCCCGGCTGCTCCACTTCCGACCCAGCATTCTGCTAAGGCGCCTGGGAAAGCAGCGATGATGGCCCAAGTGCTTGGGCCCCTGGCACCCACGTGGACCTGGATGGAGCGCCAGGCTCCTGGTTTCAGCCTGGCCAGCCCCAGCCATCACAGCCACTTGTGGGGTGAACCAGGGATGGAAGCTCCCCTCCTTTCCTTCTTAAAAAAAAAAAAAAAAAAAAAGCCCACTAAATTGAAGGGGCGGGTACAGCTCAGCTGGCCCCCAGGGTCCAGGTCGCAGGACTTAGGTCACCTATCCCCTCTACAGGGGTCTGGTTGAGGAATCCCCCCGGCCCTGTGCAAACCGCTACCCACCACCCGCACGGAGCCCCCAGACTGAGCCCACTTGGCCACGCTCAGAATCCCCACAAGGACTCCAAGTCGCTGGCCAGCGGAGGGGTCACCGAGGCCAGGCAGAAGCCGACCCCAACTTCCGGCGCTAAGACCCCTTGACCTGAACCCCTGGGGAAGGCCGGGAGTGGGGCCGCGGCGCCTGGCCCCCGGCTCTGCGAGCGGACCCCGGGCACCGGCCTGGCTGCGCGGGCCCGCGATCTCTTCCACGACACTCCCACCTTTCATTTACGTCCTCGCCAGATTTCTGGTAGATTTTAAAACATCAGTTATTGGAATGTTGGGACGGATACTCCAGGGCCATTTAAAGCTGTCTGAAGGCGCACGCCCTGGGAGTGAGGGACCGAAACGCCACCGTTTCCTGTTTAAAGTTTCTTCGAACTTTGCACTTATCTCACGTTCATCCCAAAACCACGCACCAAACTCTCCAAGACGCCAAAGTGTGCTCACTCCGGGGACCCAGAGACCCGCCTGGGCCCACCCTGGCGACTCCGCGGCTTCCTCCCTGCAGACCGAAGGTCGAGAGGCAGCGACAACACCCACCACCCACTCCCAACGACGGCTGCCACAAACTCGCCGGGGGCTCGCGGCTGGAACGCGCCTGTGTGACGCCACCCGCGCTCGCCGGCGAGCGAGCCTCGGCGTCCCTCGTCCTAAAGCGGCGACGTTACGAGAGTGCGAGATCCCCAGGCCGAGCGGCCTGTGCACCCGCAGCCGCGCGCCTCCGCCGGCAGACACACACACACACACTCGGGGCGGAGCGGCCGCCACTGGATGCCGCCCACCTGACGCTTCGGTTGGTCCTCCTCGCGCACCGTCCGGCCAGGCCCACTGCCCGGCGCGGGGGCGGGGCTTCCGGCCGAGCCGCACTTCCGGGAGGGGCGGGACTTCCGGGGCACGTGCCGCGGCGCGCTGTGTGACTGTGGGTCCGGCGCTCCGAGGCGCGTGGCGGGCGGTGTTGGCCGCTGGTGGGATTCTAAACCGTTTGCGAGGTGGGGGTCGCGGAAAAGCCGTTGGAAGGCCGCAGGGAAGGCCGTGTGCGTGGCGTTCCCGTCCCGGCGCCCTCGGTCATGGACTACCGGCGGGTCCTGATGGGCCGGGTGGTGCCCGGCCAGTTCGACGACGCGGACTCCGACAGGTATCGGACGCCGCGGTTCCGATCGTGCGACCCCTTCTCGGGGAGTCCGCAGGGGTTCCTGGCCCGCTCTCGCTTGGCAGCTGTGTTTTCTCTCTTGGGCAGCGCGAATGAAGGCCGCTTGCCGAGTCGGTGCGCCCACGGTGGAGAGGCGGGGTCGGGGAGCGCCGGCCACGGAGAGGAGGGGTCGGGGAGGGCCGGCCACGGGGAGGCGGGGTCGGGGAGGGCCGGCCACGGAGAGGAGGGGTCGGGGAGGGCCGGCCACGGGGAGGCCACGGGGAGGCGGGGTCGCAGGGTCCGGGAGCACCGGCCACGGGGAGGCCACAGGGAGGAGGGGTCGGGGAGGGCCGGCCACGGGGAGGCCACGGGGAGGAGGGGTCGGGGAGGGCCGGCCACGGGGAGGAGGGGTCGGGGGGGGGGCCAGCCACGGAGAGGAGGGGTCGGGGAGGGCCGGCCACGGGGAGGCGGGGTCGCAGGGTCGGGGAGCACCGGCCACGGGGAGGAGGGGTCGGGGGGGGGCAGCCACGGAGAGGAGGGGTCGGGGAGGGCCGGCCACGGGGAGGCCACGGGGAGGAGGGGTCGCAGGGTCGGGGAGGGCCGGCCACGAAGAGGGGGGGTCGCAGGGTCGGGGAGGGCCGGCCACGGAGAGGGGGGGTCGCAGGGTCGGGGAGGGCCGGCCACGGAGAGGGGGGGTCGCAGGGTCGGGGAGGGCCGGCCACGGAGAGGAGGGGTCGGGGGGTCGGGGAGTCCCGGCCGTAGAGAGGCAGCGTCGGGGAGCGCCGGCCACGGAGAGGAGGGGTCGGGGAGCATTGGCTGTGGCGAGGCGGGGTCGGGGAGCGCTGGCCCCGGGGCGTTCTGCGCTGCCCAGGGGTTTGTTGAGCACCTGGGCATGGTAATGGGGTTTGTAGAACTTTATTTTCTATTTGGGAGAGAGGGAAGGCCGTTAAAATAAAAGATATATGCGATGGTATTTTAGAAATCTGGTGGAAAATGGGGTTAAAAGACCTTTATTTTGGTGCAAACTTTTTTAAAAAATAATTAAAGTCAGTTAATATGCAAAGTAGTGCCAGAGTGATTCCGGAAGGGTGAAGCAGGAAGAAGGCACTACCCTAACAAGAGCAGAGGGAGTGGCGTTTCTGGCCCAGGACGCGTGCAAAGGCCCCGGGGTCAGCTGGCAAAGGGACACGAAGAGGCCGGTGTGCCTGGAGCACAGTTAGGGGGATTGGAGGTGGCACTGGGGAGAAGGGTTCAGATACTGTGGAGCCCAGAGTGACCGGGAGGAGGGGCCAGATACTGTGGAGCCCAGAGTGACCGGGGGAGAAGGGTTCAGATACTGTGGAGCCCAGAGTGACCGGGGGAGAAGGGCCAGATACTGTGGAGCCCAGAGTGACCGGGCGGTGTTGAGATCACTGTTCTGAGCACTGCAGAAAGTCGTAGGAAGGATTTAGCAAGAGCTTGACGTTGGGTTCAGATTGAGAGGTGCAGGAGATGGTAGTGAAGGGGGCAAGAGTGGACAGAAGCCAAGTTCCGAGGTTCCAGGGTGAAGGATGAGAATGTTGGGGGTCCTGGAGATAGGTTTTAGGTGTCGAAAGGCAAGATCTGGTGGTGGATTAGACATGGAAAAGAGGAAAGAGGAGACCCCTATATTAGAAACAAACCGGGGGCCGGCGCTGTGCACAGCTTCCCTTACCAGTGAGGGTCCCAGCTGCTGCACTTCTCACCCAGCTCCCTGCTGCTGCGCTGCGAAAGCAGTGGAAGATGGGCCAGTGCCTGGGTCCCTGCACCCATGTGGGAGACCCAGATGGGGTTCCTGACGCCTGGCTGTGGCCTGGTCCTGCCCTGGCTGTTGTGGCCATTTGGAGAGTGAACCAGCGGATGAAAGATCTGTGTCTCCCTCTTTTTCAGTCACTCTGTGTTCAAATAAATAATTCTTTAAAAACAAAATGAAATGTATTAAGAGTTACTTTGGAATTCCAGGAAAACCATTTATACTTTAAGGTAAAGATTTATTAATCAATTGGGAATTTTTACAGTAAATATATATATATATATTTAAAGATTTATTTATTTGAAAGGTAGAATTACAGAGAGAGATCTTCCATCCACTGGTTCACTTCCCAGATGGCTGCAAAGGCCAGGGTGGGCCAGGATCTTTTTCTGGGTCTCCCATGTGGCTGCAGGGGCCCAAGCACTTGGGCCAACTTCTACTGCTTCCCCAGGTGCATCCGCAGGGAGCTGGATCAGAAAGGAGCTCCCATAAGATATGCTGGTGTTGCAGCCGGCCCCTTAACCGGCTACTCCACAGCGCTGGCCCCAGTAAATGTGTGTTGACCTCTTTCTACATGTGAGATCTAGTGTTAGGTGGTGTGGATACGTTGGTAAACGTTATCCTAACACAGAGCTTGCACTCTGGCAGAGAAAACTGATATTAGATAATCAGGTCACCGGTCCAAAGGAGATGTGGGTGAAGAATGGGCAGATATCCCTGAGCAAGTGATAGTGGGCTGGGTAGGGTTAGCCAGAGAGAGGAGATTGGGCATTCCAGTTTTGTGGTTACAGATCAGCGGACAGAGGTCTCAGAGAAGTGAAGTGGGAAGAGAGAATCACCCCGCTGGGCTGGTGAAGAACAGAGAGTGGTGACAGTACGCTCATTCATTAGCCTCACAGGATGTCGGGAGCAGAGGCCCACGGTGCTGCCCTGCGGGTGGTTGTGCCACCTCCACTTCCCCCCGGAGGACTTGTGTTGTCACAGCTAGGGGTGGTGGCATCTGTGGGCAGAGGACAGAGATGCTACTAAGCATCCTGCGGTGGACAGGGTTACCTGGCTAACCGCCTGCCGTTAATTTGACATGCCGCTTCTGGTTCTTGACAACTCAAGGGTCAGCGTGTGGGTAGTTCTGTGACATCCTAGGAAGCAGCAAGTGTGGTGTGATTGTTTGCTCTGGCCCACCCCCTCCTTGGGGATTGGGAGCCCTCCCAGTTAAAATCAATTGATTAATTGGGATTGATGCCTGAATTTACTTGAACGCATGCCTGACTTTTTAAGCTGGCAGTGCCTGTCATCAGTTGTGTCATTTCTGTCTTCATTTCTCTTCGTGAGAAGTCAAAGCTTGTAGTACCTCTGTTGAACTTGTTTGATACAGTGTTTTATAAAAATTCACAATGCCAATTAAGTGGAATATTTTCAGAAAATCCACAGTGCTAGCCTGTCTTGAGAAGCTAAAAAAAGCCGGTGACACTTAGTCTGAATTCTCATATGGGAAAAAAGAAAAAATCCTGTTAGTTGTGCTCCCTTTACCCTGGACTGTCTCTCAGTCCCCACGTGACTCGTTTGTAATACTGGGCCGTGGATTCATGGTTTCCCCCCGGTGTTCACCATTCCCCCTCTTTGTGTGCAGTGGTGATCTGAAGTTCTTTATATAACACTAATCTTGATCTAGTGTGTTGAGTTGCAAAGTAGCATTGAGATCAAGGTAATGCTGCTATAGACTTATTCCCAAACTTTGTGGGGAAGCTTTATTTTTTTCCCTCTCTCCTAGCAGCCCTGTGAATGGTTTTCCTAGAATTAGACCTGGGGTGCTGATTAGAGTGGGTCCATTCAGCAGAAAGTAAAACAATGCATACTTCCTCCCTGCTAGGACTGGGGCATGGAGAGTGAGCCACAGAACTGGGAGACGGGAGACACTGGCATCAAGACCATGGAGCCTATTGGGGGTACATTGTAGGGGGAAGTGTAAAGTTTATCAATGTGTGTTTCATCTATTGTCTCATAGAGAAATGTATCTGAGCCCAATTAGAGGACGTACAAACATGCCAAACCCTTATTTCTAGTGAGAACCCAGACTTGAAGACAGTCAAAGGGGAAGGTGGCGCTCTGTCTGAAGACTTTGAAGGTCATGTGGTTGCGGAGAAGGGCGAAGGTGAGCTAGAAGATGAAGAGGACGAGGACTTTGATGAAGACGACAGTGACTGGGAATGGGATGATGGAGTGGGCCGGCTCACCAGGGGAAATGGCTGGAGTGGCGGGAACAACCCACAGGTATTCTATAAATGGTCCTGTATGTCTTCCTGTCGTCCACTCGTGTCCACTCTGTCTTCAAAAGGCTTTATGGTTCTAGAATTGAGTAATTGAAAGGTTATATCATTCTGTAGCTCCAGCCTTCATGGATTTTCATTCTCTGTCCTTTCCGAATTTCTGAGAATTCCGTGATGGGAATTCTTCCATAATCGGTCCATGTAGAAAGTTATTTAAGGTGTCATAGATTATGAACTTAAAAGTTAGCTCAATTAGGAAAGGGTACACATAGGCAGGTTGCTGCTGACAGACACAAGCTATATGATTGATGGTCATGTAAATAGGTACAGTGTGAAAGATAAAGTGCGGTGTGATAAAAGCCCACAAGCGCTTTGGCCAGCAGTTCTTGTAGGAGTGTGCTAAGACTTATGAGAGTGAGTTCCTGGACTGCTTTGAATAAATTTGCCACAGGACTGAGCAGTGTTTTGCAGCCATAAAGTATGTTGCAGTGGAGGGCTATATTAGGAAGATGGAAGTACGTTCATAACCTGCCATCATCGGCCACGTGCAAAAACAAGTTACCAAACTGCGTAGGGCCTGCGGCTGACGCTGGAAGCCCTCAGTGCGGCCCGAGCACGCAGAGCCGAGGGGTAGCATGTGCAGAAAGCTGCTGGAAGATTGAGGAGGGGAAGAATAACTCAACAGCATTCCTTTGACTGTTCAAACAGCTGCCACATAAACCAGAATGCGACATTTTAAAAGTAACCAAAGAAATTTCACATTACTTGTGGTCTTGTTTTGGTAATTCCTCCATTGTTATGTTGATAAGAATTTGAGCGATTTCAGTGTGATCACTGGTGGGAAAGATGAAATGTGTGTTTTTAAACATTAACATTAAACATTGAGTGCTGCGATTATAGTGATTAAAATTCTGCCTATGGTTTATACCATCAACATGTATTATATGAATTAAACTTTTTTCCTGAAGTTTGTTTGCACAAGTCTAAGTACTGAACCTCATATTTAATCTTTCCCATTTTTGAGATATTGGGCCCAAAATGAAATTCTTAGAATCAGTTTAATGTTGTTCTTAGCTCTTTGTTATCTACTTTGGAAATAAATGAACATTCTCAAATTTTAAATCTATAACCTAGTCCAATTAAAGAAACACATTTGTTATTTGCAATAATGAGGAATACAATGTAGAGAAGTGAAAAAGCAGATCATAGAGGGTTCTGGCCAGTAGCATAACCTTCTATTTCAAATGCCTGTAAAAAATCTCTTGAGCAGATGTGATTGGTTCTTACCTTTCCTTAGGGTGTTCCTCTAAGTCCTGAAGCTCAGTAGCTAGCTGTGAACTGAGGGAAAACATGATGTTGAGCCGTAGGCTTGTGTTTACAGCCAGTTGCCTGAAACTCCGGAACTTACTTCTTCTAGGCAAATCGACAGACTGCCCATTGCACTGCAGCCAAAATGTCTACTCCAGCTGACAAAGTCTTACGGAAATTTGAGAATAAAATTAATTTAGGTGAGTGTATTAAACGCATTACCTCACAAGGTTATGAAGAATTTCTTTTTTTTTTTTCCATGTCATACTCAGACTATGTTTCATGAGAAATTTCTTACTTTAGCTTTTCCTTCACCTCAAATTTAATAAAGAAGTCTTTGTTTATTGGCCCCTACCAACTTTTTTAGATGAAAAACACTTTGCTGAAAATATGAAGTTGAAAGCATTAACATTCTGGATACATACTTGTATAGGGAAGTAATAATCCAAAAAGAGCAGAGTGCGAACTTTCGCAGTGGTGCTCACCTACTGACAGACCCACACTCCCAGCGCCGCGATCGCGGCATTCACGTGCTCTAAGCTGTGAAGGGATGCCTGACTTCTGTGGGAAGCGCGTGTCATCTGGTGAGGTCGGTGCCGGAAGCTCCATCCACGTTTGAAGCGGCTGCTTCAAGGAATGCAGCCGAGTGGCTAAAATAAGTCTAGGGGCGCTGCTGGCAATTTTCAGGGGCAAATCAGGCTGAACGATGGAGTTCAGGTGTCCATCATGGAACATGACACTGCGGGGACCACTGATGTCCACAATGGCGTTCAGAAAACGAGGAGGTGCCTCAAGCCAGTGCACAGAGCAATGAGCAGATCCCTGGGGCCCATAGGCTCAACATTCTGAGAAGCCGTGCATTACACAATTTTGTTAGATCAAGAAAGGGTGTATTCAAATGGTACTGATTCAGTAATATCTCCTGGAGAAAAGATTTATTTAAAAACATGGCTTCAGGAGAAGACTTGCCTGAACCCTTCTTAGGTCTGTTCTTTGATCGCCTGCCATAGGAATATAAATTTACAGATGCCCTTTCAAGTTACTGTCTTGTTTTAGCCTTTGTGGTGGGAGCACCTTGGAGTAGGGTGTTGAAAATACTAGAGTATTGAATATAGCATTTCATTTTACTGGAGACTTTAAGGGTGTGAATCAGAGAGCTGGTGAATGAGACTATTAGACTATTGATATGAACCTTCAAAATGCAAGGTCATCTTTTCGTTGTGAACCTCACACTGTCTCATGTAAGGGGTCAGTAAACACTGAGTTAATGAGTCAGTATTTTGGGGTCATCACTGCTGTCCTGGGCCTGTGACTTGAAGTAGAATTAAATTTGGAATCCAGGCAGTTATATTGTCTATATTAGTTATTCAAAATATTACATGAAATTTAACATGTGGATGTAGTTTTGAGGGATTTCCCTTTTTTAAATTGTACATGGTAATGGGGTCCTTTATGATGTTTCATGTTTCATTACATACATACAGTGTGTAATATCCAGATATTTATGCTTTCAAGCATTTAATGTTTCTTTATAGTGAAAACATCCAAAAATCATCTAGACTTTTTTTTTTAACAGAAAAATGTACCATAAGTTAACATTACCTGTCTCTACCCTCCTGTGCGCTGGAACCCCAGAACTCCTCACTCCCTTCTAGCAGTAACCTAGTATTCCTCAATTAGTCTTTCCCCACCAGCCCTCCCTCCCCGCTTCCTCCCCAGCATCTGGGAGTAACCAGTATAGTTTTAATTCTGTGAGATCAGTTTTTTCTTGGACTCCACATGAGTGAGATCTTGATATTTGCCTTTCTGTGCTTAGCTTGTGTCACTTAACATAATGGCCCTAAGCCCATCCATACTGTTGCACATAACAAGATTTCATCCTTTTTTATAGCTGAGTGATAGACGAGGGATTCCATATCTTGAATTCTGTGGCTCAACAGTTACAACAGTAGCAGTGAAAGTAACAGTAACTTAAACTTATGAAACAATACAACATAGTGCTTACCTTTAAGTACATTACATTTTTTCCGGTTACTGAAATCTAGCTATGACTCAACAGTTAAGAAAATACGGAAGGGCAGAAAGAGGGAGTCCTATTCAGAAAGACTTATGTCCGTTTTGTCTTATGTATTGTTTACATGGTGCGTCTTTTGTATTTTCAGATAAGCTGTATGTTACTGACGCTGTCATAAATAAAGTCACTGAGAAGTCTAGACAGAAGGAAGCAGATCTGTAAGTAATGTTTTAATCATCAGCATGCATGCGAGGCACCAATTCTGGACCAAGTAGCATCCGGGTCATAACTCTTCTGCAAAGGATGTTCATTTGTGTCCTTTGATCTTAAATGGAGGTAGCTAACGTAGTCTTTGTAAATGGGAAATATTGAATGAGTCTTCTTAAGAAATAGGTGCTGAAACCGGAATCTTGTGAATTCACACTTATGCTCTCATGAGGGGAACTGTAGATTCCAATTTATATTGAATGCTTTCATCTTCAAACTAACTGTGAAAATGTTCCCTCTTTAAAATTTATTAAAAATTGTTTCCTTCCGCGAAGTATTTTTAAAAATTAAAGAGAAGTCTAAAAACTATAACTGTTCTCAAAGTCAGTTGTTTAAGATCTGCCTGACTTTTTTTGTATGTCAGTAACTTTACTATTATTACTCAGATACTATAGAAAGTAACACTAAGATAATACAATTGGCAGTTTAGTATTGAACTTAAAAATCAGTTTATCCTGATTTATTGCTTTGCCCAAGAGATGCCAGCTTTTTGAGAAACAGTCATAATCACTTGTTTCACTGTAGTGTCTTTTAAATTTTTATGCTTCAATCATCATTAGTTTAGGCTAGTGTGCTAGACTGAGCCCCCCAGTGTGTAAGCTTAAGCAAACCAGAGTCTGTATTTGAAGGCTTTCTTGAAATGATAGAAATGTGTGTCTTTGTAGAAAATGACTCTAAAGACAATGTCTTACAACTGATTTTAGTTCTGAGCTATGCCAAAATGAAGATTTGAGGGACAGTATTTCTCTAGCATAGCTCTACTCTAGCTATTATTTATGTTTCTGGAATATGGAGAGACTTTTCTCTTTTTCTTAGTACATATATACTCCTTTTGCCCTACAAAATGAATTCCATATTCTGGAGAAATGAAGGAAGCTTCCGAGTAAAGAATCTACAATCAACTTATGACATCTGTTACTAAAAAACAGTATCCATTTAGGAATTTTCAAGAAATAATTATGTATTTAGCAGCTTTTTATCTTGGCTTCTCAGAATCTTGAATATATGTCAGCTGTTTTTATTTTTTTTCTGGTTAGGTATCGCATCAAGGATAAGGCAGACAGAGCGACAGTAGAACAGGTACCATATAAAAGTGTTGCAAGCTTATTTTTGATTACTCTTTCTTTTCTCTGGATTATACTTTGCTTTCACCTCCTTGCTTACTGCCAATGTTATGTAAAATTGCTGCTGTATAAATCACTGCTTTTGACAGTTTTCATCGCGGAGATGGGTAGGCTGTTGGTAGATCAGGCAGTGTCCATGGCCCAGTGAATTCATCAGGCAGTGCCTTCCTCTTCTTGGAGGGAGTATGGGAGTGAGTAGACCCAGGATCTCTCCTAAGCAAGGTCTGTAGGGACTTTGAGAACTTTCCAGAAGACAAGTTGAGTATCTGCCATAGGCAGGTGTATGGGACTGAGAGTGAGAGAGACAGGCAGTGCCTTCAGATTTCCAGTTAGAAATCCTTTTCTTTGTTTGGAAATTGCGCCTGTTGTATTCTTTCTACTCCAGAATGGGGAAAAGTTGGCCCCTGGTTTTCCCATTTACAGAGGGATGTCACTGAATGTTGGCATTGGCCAGGGGTCGATGTAGAAGAAGTGACAGTTATGACATCGCCCCTTTCTCTGCCCACGCATACTTCACACACACACAGGTGGGCAGTAGCCTCTCCCACCTGTGGTTCCTGAATAAGCACCCCTCTATCATCCACCTTCTCCCTAAAGGTTAGCACCTAACCTAGGTCCCAGACCGTTCGTACAGGTAAAGAATCTACTGCAGGTAGGAGTAGGGTCTGGGGTCTGTGTCTTTATTGTCCTCTCATTTGTTTTGTGTGATTTGTTTCTGAGATTGGAAACAAAATATGGTCCAGCTGAGAGAGATGAGGCAGCCTTAACTTTTCAGCAATCGTAAAATAACCAAGGCAGGAATTTTGGATGCTGGAATGTTTAACTTGATTGAGTCATAAGCTTGCTGTCTTATCTATCTATATATTTATTGAAGTTTATTTGGGAGATAACTCATGCTCCTATCTGCTAATTGATTCCCCAAATGCCTGTGGTGGCTTGGGCTGGGCCAGGACTTGGGAATTCAGTCTAGATGTCCCACATGGGTGGCGAGAACTTGTTACTTGAGCCATCACCACTGCTTTCCTGGGTCTGCATTACCAGGAACTTGGTGTCAGGAGCCAGAGTTGAGCATTGAACCTAGACACTCCAACACGGGGATACGGTCATCTTAACTGGCATCCTGTTTCATTTGAGAATCTGGAATCGGGAGCAGAACCAGGACTCTAACCAAAGCACTCTAAGACACAATGCAGGTGTCTTAAATCCTAAGCCAAAGACCCAGCTCTTAAGTTGTCTTTTAAAAAATAGACACATCTCTCTAACTTTTTCATTTTTCTATTTGTATTTGAGCCATTTGATGTGTTACTTCTTCCTGTGCCCCTTACCTGTCCTAACTACCAATGTTTCTTAAATACCAATATTTTTTAAAGATACATCTTTTTTAAAGATGCATTTTTATTTATTTGAAAGGCAGAGTTAGAGAGGGAGAGACAGACAGAGATCTTCCATCTGCTGGTTCACTCCCCAGGTGGCTGTAACTGCCAGGGTTGTGCCAGGCCAAAGCCAGGGCCCCAGAGCTTCTTCTGGATCTCCCACATGGCTGCAGGGACCCAAGCACTTGGACCATCTTTTACTGCTTTCCCAGCGGCATTAGCAGGGAGCTGGATTAGAAGTGGAGCAGTCAGGTTTCAAACTGGTTGGACTGGTTCCTATATGGAATGCTGGCATTGCAAGTGGCAGTTTAACCTGCTATGCCACAACAGCAGCCCCCTCTCTCTCTCTTTTTTTTTTTAAATTTAATGATTTATTTATTTGTTTGAAATGGAGCTTTTCTATCCACTGGTTCATTCAATGGCCTGTGGTTGGGCCAGGTCAAAGCCTGGAGCCAGAAACTTCTTCAGGTCTCCAATGTGGGTCACAGGGGCCCAAGCACTGGGGCCATCCTCTGCTGCTTTCCTAGACACATTAGCAGGGAGCTGGATCAGAAGTGGAGCAGCTGGGTCTCAAGCCAACAACCATATGGGATGCCAGCATAGCAGATGGCAGCTTTACCTGCAACACCACAATATTTATTTTCTTTTTTAAAGATTTATTTATTTATTTGAAAGTCAGAGTTACACAGAGAGAAGGAGAGGCAGAGAGAGAGAGAGAGAGAGAAGTTTTCCATCTGTTGGTTCACTCCTCAATTGGTCGCAACGGCCGGAGCTGCGCCAACCTGGAGCCAGGTCTCCCACGCGGTTGCAGGGGCCCAAGGACTTGGGCCATCTTCTACTGCTTTTCCAGGCTATAACAGGGAGCTGGATTGGAAGTGGAGCAGCTGGGACTCGAACCAGCACCCATATGGGAATACCAGCACTGCAGGTGGCAGCTTTACCCACCACACCACAGTGCCGGCCCTGGCCCTACCAATATTTCAAACGTGCAAGTGTCTACCTAGATTCCTGTACACACCCAGCTTGTTCTCCCTCTTTATTTACCTGTGAAATTGAGAAGGAATGGAAATCCCTGCCTATTCACTCACTTGCCTTTTTCAAAATCGTTTTTATTTTTATTTATTTATTTTTTTTTGAAAGACAAAGATCTGCTTTCTGACTTCTCACAACAGCCAGGCTGGGCCAGGCTGAAGTCAGGAGCCTGAAACTCGATCCATGTCTTCCACGTTGGTGGCAGGGACCCATGTACTTGAACCATCACTTGCAGGGTGCACATTAGCAGAAAGCTGCATCAAAAAACTGTGTAACCAAGACTTGAGCCAGGCACTCTGATGGGGAATGTGGGTGTCCCCAGCAGTGACAGCCACTGCTCCAAATGCCCACCTGCTTGCCTTTAATTCTCTTAGTTGAAATGGTTGTGGTTTTATAGTGTCCCAAGATTCTTTGTGTACATTATCTTTAGGTTTTGGCATGGCCTCTCCCACCTTGTCAGCAGAAAGACCCTAGAATTGAATCAGGCTTGGTCAGCTGACACTGCCTCATTTCATGAAGAGCTGTCTCAGACACGCATCTGAGCGCATCAGCTTCGGAGAGGAGCAAGGGTGGACCTCAAATTCATCACCTTCTTTTTTTAGAGGACCTTGAAATCCTTTTTTACTCAAGGTTGAGTCTGTGACTGAAGGAAAGCCTTAATATATTCATCTTTAGGGGTACGTAGACTCCTTGCTTAAAGAGCCAAATAAAGGATGGTGTTGTGGCATAGCGGGTTAAGTCACTGCCTGCAACACCAGCATCGCATATGGGCACTGGTGACTGTCCTGGCTGCTCCACTTCTATCCCAGCTCCCTGCTAATGGACCTGGAAAAGCAGCAACAGGTGGTCCAGGTCCTTGGGCCCCTGCACCTACAGAGGAGACCGAAACAAAGCTCCTGGCTCCTGGTTTCAGCCTGGCCCAGCCCTGGCTGTTGTGGCCATATGAGGAGTGAATCAATAGTTGAACAATTTCTTTCTGTGTTGCCCCCTCCAACATCCCTGTAACTCTGCCTTTCAAATAAACAAATCTTGGGGGGGGCGGGGAGTGGCCAAATAAGAGATCATTTAGAATTCTAGGTCACATATAGGTAAATATTCTTTTTTTTTTTTTTTTTTTTTTTTTTTTTTTTTTTAGCAACTTTTTAAACATGGAGATCATGCTTACCTTGCAGGATGTGGTCTAGCTTTGGCCGTGAGCCGTAGGATGCTGACCTCTCATTTGAAGCTGCTTGTCTAGGGGACAGCATTGTAGCACAGCAGGCTCAGCTGCTGCTTACGTTAGCATCCCATTTTGGGGTACTGGTTCAAGTCCCAGCTGCTCCACTCTGATGCAGTTCCCTGCTAATTGGGCCTGGGAAGGCAGTGGATGATGACCCCTGTCACCCAGTTAGGAGACCAGGATTAAGTCTTGGCTCCTGGTTTCACCCTGGCCCAACCCTGGCTGTTGCAGCTATCTGGGGAGAGAACCAGTGGATGGAAGATTGCTCTCTTTGTCTCTTCCTCCTTCTCTGTCATTCTGCCTTTCAAATAAATAGAATAAATGTTTAAAAAAATGCTTGTCTGATATGGTTGTTATTTAGCACTTTAGTTGTGGCTATTCTGAATTGAGACAAACTGTATATAAAATATACACTATATTTGAAGACTTAGTTTTAAAAAGTGTTAAATATCTAATGACTTATTGATTTTATGTTGAAATTAGAATGTTTTAGCTATATTGGATCAAATAAAATAATTTCACCTGTTTTTAGTTTTAATGAAGAGACTAGAAAAAGTAAAATTGATTATGTGGTTTGAATTATATGTCTATCAACTAGCATTGGCCTAGAGTCAGTTACTGCTGCCCTTGACTAGGTGAACTTTTATAAAGTGCTCCTAGTTTCCTTCTTTCCTTTTTTAAAGGTTTGTTTTATTTATTAGAAAGAGTTACAGAGAGAGGCAGAGAGAGAAGTCTTCCATCCACTGGTTCACTCCCCAGATGGCTGCAATGGCCGGAGCTGAGCCAATCCAAAGTCAGGAGCCAGGAGCTTCCTTTGGGTCTCCCATGTGGGTGCAAGTGGCCCAAGGACTTGGGCCATCTTCTACTGCTTTCCCAGGCCACAGCAGAGAGCTGGATGGGAAGTGGAGCAGCCGGGACTTGAACCAGCGCCCATATGGGATGCCGGCACTTCAGGCCAGGGCTTTAACCCACTGTGCCTCAGTATCAGCCCCGTCTAGGTGACCTTTGATTACCATTACTGCTGCCCCACAGCACCGGCCCACAGCACCATGATTACCATGACTGGGTAAACTTACTGATTTGTTTCCTCTGGTTCCTTTGGCCTTTACCTCACATTTTATTTACTAAAAATTAGAGTGAATAAAAAGACCATAGGGAGCCAGCATTGTGGCACAGCAGATTAAGCTACTGTCAGCAGTGCCAGCATCCCATGTGAGCACTGGTTCAAATCCTGGCTCCTCCACTTCTGATCCAGCTCCCTGCTAAGGCACCTGGGAAAGCAATGGAAAATGGCATAAGTGCTTGGGCTCCTGCACCCATGTGGGAGACCCAGATGGAGATCCACGGTCCTGGCTTCAATCTAGGCCAGCCCCAGCCATTGCACCCATTTAGGGAGTAAACCAGCAGATAGAAGACTTTTCTCTCTCTCTGTAACTTTGCCTTTCAAATAAAATAAATAAATCTTAAAAAGCAGAAAACATCATAATAGCAAATCTCACTTAGTCGACCAAGTTAATGTAGTACAGGTAAGCCCTTCAGCTTATTGTCATGAATGAGCCAGATTCGGTGTTAGCTTTTTAAACTTACTACTTTGCATTTCCTTTTAGGTTTTGGATCCCAGAACAAGAATGATTTTATTCAAGATGTTGACCAGAGGGATCATATCAGAGATTAATGGCTGTATTAGCACAGGAAAAGAAGTAAGCTTTTCTTTGGAGTATTTTCATGTTTCCTTATTTCAGATCCAAATTAATTTAAGGCATTTAGTAACAAATTGTGCCTTTAAAGAAAAGGAAAACAAAGCCATGCGTAAGTCAAGATAGTTCACTGCATGTTTCAGAAACTGGCTTTGTGAGTAGTCGAGAGCTGTGTATGTGACCATCCCTTTTCACTACAATTACTGCATTGTGTCATGGGGCCTACCTGGTTGTGGCCAGCAGTCAGCTTAGATGGTCAGATTATTGTGGGCCTGAACCCTCGTTTTTAAAGTTACTCACAGGGGAAGGGGTTTACGATCTCATCTCTGTGAGTCAGTGAGTCTTGTTTTGTTGTTTTTTTCTTCATACATGCCTATAGAGAAAGACATGGTGGTGTTTAATTTAGCAACTCATTGTGTGGAAATTAGTGTATGTAAGAATGTCATGTTAAGTTCTGAGTGTGTTTCTGCTGTATTTTACAGTCTGTGTGCAGTCAGGTCTCACGCAGCAGTTGGATGCACTCTGAGAAGTGACACTGACTGCAAACACTGTCTCCTGCTTTTGACGCAGATCACATCTGCCCGTGTGCAAGCTAGGGTGGCCACAGTGCAGTCTTCTGGGACCACCGTCGTGGACGTGGTCTATCATTAGGACTTTGACGATACTTTGGAGACATATTTACTGTACTTTTTGATATAATATTTTATATTTTAATTCACTTCAAAAGATAGTGATATGTTTAGCCATGTTAGTTCACTTGACATTTGAAGTTAAAATCAAATAGATTGGAAAAAATGAAACCATTAATGGTTATTTAACACAGTCTTCATTTTTTTTTTTTTAACTCAAAATAGGCTAATGTATACCATGCTAGCACAGCAAATGGAGAGAGCAGAGCAATCAAAATCTATAAAACTTCCATTTTGGTGTTCAAAGATCGGGATAAATATGTAAGTGGGGAATTCAGGTGAGCACAGACTTTTTTTTCCTGTTCATCTAATTTCTGTTCTGTAAAACATTTAAACAGAATAATGGAATAACTGAGATTAAAATTTTTCTTGTTCAAGATTTCGTCATGGCTATTGTAAAGGAAACCCTCGAAAAATGGTGAAAACCTGGGCAGAAAAAGAAATGAGGAACTTAATCAGGTCAGTGTCGGGGGTGGGGGCAGTGTGTGCTGTGCCCTGCACATCCCAGCATGGCTCTGCCCAGTGGAGGGACTCGCTGGGGCCATTAAGTTCCATTAGATCTGCTGTGTTAAGTAGAAGGAAGAAATAAATTGTTGGACAAATGGAAACTGCCCAGTCTGTGTTCTCAGAGGCCACCATAGAAGCGTTGTGCCGTAATTCATCTTGCTCAGTGAAGCTGGGTTGTTTGAAGAGCCTTGTAGGCCATGTGAAAACAGGTAGAAGGATAGGAAGGAACTGTTCCTGGGTTTAAACAGGAAGTGACACAGTCGGGTGGTGGTAATGATGTGTCACTTTTTAATTTGTGTTGGAGTTTTTTTAGACAAATCATGTTAGGTCCTAAGTGCTTTTATTTATTTATTTATATGAAAGTCACAGTTACACAGAGAGAGAAGGAGACGCAGAGAGAGAAAGAGAAGTCTTTCACCAAGCTGGTTCACTCTTCAGTTGGCTGCAACAGCCAGAGTTGTGTGGATCTGAAGCCAGGAGCCAGGAGCTTCTTCTGGGTCTCACACATGGGTGCTGGGGCCCAAGGACTTGGGCTATCCTCTGCTGCTTTCCCAGGCCATAGCAGAGAGCTGGATTGGAAGTGGTGCAGCTGGGACTGGAACCAGCGCCCATATGTGATGCTGGCACTGCAGGTGGTGGCTTTACCCGCTGTGCCACAGCACCGGCCCCACTCTGTGGTCTTTTAACTTGGTATGTGCCATATACATGTGATGTCTGTTGGATAGTCTAGGATTACGCATTTACTACTTTTTTGAAAGTTCTTTTGAAATCTTATGTCTTGTGCTCAACTTATTTGAGTCCAACTAGTAAGCATTTTTAAGCTGATCAACTCAAAAGATAATTTGTGTGCATACCTACTGTTATTTCATCGATTCTGGTTTAAACTCACTGGAATTGAATTGGGTGTTATAGGCTAAGGGATATCATAGTGTAATTGCCAGTGTTTATCATTCTTGGTGGAGTATAATATTGCCACTTAATATCATTGTTGTCATGGACTTTATGAAATCTGTTAGAAGGGTTGAGAGGCCTTGGTATCTCTTCCTAATGGCAAGTGGACTTCAGCCATTGTAGTTTGTTTGGATGCCTTTTCGGCTCTTGAACTGTCATTTTATCTGTTGTAATGCCACAGGTTAAACACAGCGGAGATACCGTGTCCAGAACCAGTCATGCTGAGAAGTCATGTTCTCGTCATGGGTTTCATTGGTAAAGACGACATGTGAGTACATGAGGAAGGCCTGAGAATTAGGAGCCCACAGCTGTGCTCTTCAGTGCTTTGAGTAGCTCCCTCATCATCCTCATCATCCTCCCCGTACGGGAGTGCACACACACCATTAGCTTATTTATCTTTTTAAGTCTTTAAATGCTTCAGGGTAGCAGAAAGCCCCATTTTTGAGCACTGTTTTACACAGGTGCTGTGTGGGGAAGCTCCTGTTCAGCAGTACCTTCTTGAAATGCTGTGTGTCGTGAGACAGGTTGTCCCACGTGCCGTTCACATGACGAGCTGTGGAAGGGGAGTGCCCCTTACCAGTGTACCATAAAGCAGGAATGCTTGCCTTTTGTCTCAGTGCCTTCTCTTTATTCAAGGCCAGCGCCACTCCTGAAGAACGTCCAGCTATCTGAATCCAAGGCCCGCGAGCTGTATCTGCAGGTCATTCAGTACATGCGGAGGATGTATCAGGATGCCAGACTTGTTCATGCCGATCTCAGTGAATTTAACATGCTGTGAGTGTGCTTTGTCCCTTGGGCCACCAGGAGTCGTTTCATGTCCTTTAAGGCAACAAAATCCCAATCCACCACTCACACCAAGTGCCAGTTTTAAAGTTGGCTTCTGCATGATGACAGTGTGAGAAGTGGTCCCTGGCTTGAAGGACCTCATCGCACAGTTAACCACTCCGATCATCAAAGTTGCTGGGCTTTGGGTGTTTTCTCCATTCCCTCTCTTGTCAGGGTGGCCCTTGCTCATGTTGTAAAGTGACTTCCCTGCTGTTAAGAGTAGAGAGGTGTGGTGAAGTGGCCTCCGTGGCCTGTGTGGCCCACAGGTACCACGCTGGGGACGTGTACATCATCGATGTGTCTCAGTCTGTGGAGCACGACCACCCGCATGCCCTGGAGTTCCTGAGGAAAGACTGTGCCAACGTCAGCGGTGAGTGGGGGTCGGGCCTTCCGGCAGCTCGTTTGTGCTGGGTCTGCACTCAGGAAGCTGCTGGTAGAAAGTCTTTTTTTTTTTTTTTTTTTTAATATTTATTTATTTATTTGAAAGAGTTACACAGAGAGAAGGAGAGGCAGAGAGAGGTATTCATCTGATGGTTCACTCCCCAATTGGCCACAACAGCCGGAGCTGTGCTGATCTGAAGCCAGGAGCCAGCAGCTTCTTCTGGGTCTCCCATGGGGGTGCAGGGAACCAAGCACTTGGGCCATCTTCTACTGCTTTCCCAGGCCACAGCAGAGAGCTGGATCAGAAGTGGAGCAGCCAGGTCTTGAACCGGTGCCCATAGGGGATGCCGGCGCTTCAGGCTAGGGTGTTAACTCGCTGCACCATAGTGCTGGCCCCTGGTATAAAGTCTTGTCACTCAGTTGCATTTGCTGGGGATGGTATAGATGTTTGTCTTTGCTTCTGTATGAAGTGGTGGGAATAACAGCTTTTTCCCTCAAGGCCAACATTAACGTTTTTCCTGTGACAGATTTCTTTTTGAAGCACAGCGTCGCTGTCATGACTGTGCGGGAGCTCTTTGAATTTGTCACAGACCCATCCATCACACGTGAGAACATGGACGCTTATCTCTCAAAGGTGAGGTGGGCTGAGGAAGGGAGAGACAGAAAGTCGCAGTGGTGTGTGCATTGATGGAACTCCCATGAGGGATCTGCTAGGGGCATCGTATTCATCCCCGCCGCTTCCTGAGACCTTCTGCCGCTTTCACAGGCCAAGAACCAAAGCCATAGCAAAACAGCCCATGGTAACAGCCAAGAAGCCAAGTTTCTCAACTTGAATCACTAGGCAATGTTATGTAGACTGTCACTGTCTGTTCTTTGTGAATGGTTAGGAAGAAACTTAGTAGTTTTTTTGGTCATTAACTTTTTTTAAGTAGTTTTTTTTTAAAGTTTTATTTATTTATTTGAAAGAGTTACAGAGAGAAGGAGAGGCAGAGAGAGAGAGAGAGAGAGAGAGAGAGAGAGAGGTCTTCCATCTGCTGGTTCACCCCCCAGTTGGCCGCAGTGGCTGGATCTGTACAGATCTGAAGCCAGGAGCCAGGAACTTCTGGGTCTCCCACGTGGGTGCAGGGGCCCAAGTCTTTGGGCCATCTTCTGCTTTCCCAGGCCACAGCAGGGAGCTGGATCGGAAGTGGAGCAGCAGGGACTCGAACCAGCGCCCATATGGGATGCCGGCACTGCAGGCAGCAGCTTTACCCGCTATGCCACAGCGCTGGCCCCTGGTCATTAACTCTTGCTTGTTTCTCAGGGACCTGTCTGCATCGGTGACTTTATTAGATTCATGTTGTGCAGTCACCACCGCTGTCCTGCTCTGAAACTTCTTCATCTTCCCCATTAACAGCTCCCATGTCTCCACCACTCAACCGTCGGTCTTTACTGCTCCATCTTTACTACTGCCGTGCCACTTTTCACCTAAGAGTGAAGTCATACGATGTAGTCTTTTTGTTACCGGCTTAGTTCACATAGCATAGTGTCTTCAAGGCTGGTCCATGATGGAGCATGCAACGAGGTTTCTCTTTGAGGCTGAATAGTGCTCTCTCTGTATACCCCATTCTGTCTGTTCATGTATCAGTGGACACAAGTTGCTTCTACCTTCTTGCTGTTGTATGAGTAATGCTTCTGGGAACCTGTGAACTTGGATATGTAAATGTTTCCTTGAGACCCTGGAGGCCTTTTGTTTTTTTAAAAGATTTATTTATGTATTTTGAAGGAATTAGAAAGGGAGAGACAGAGAGATATTTCATCTTCTGGTTCACTCCCCAAATGGCTGCAACAGCCAGTGCTGGGCCAGGCCAAAGCCAGGAGCCAGAAGTTTCATGTGGGTCTCCCATGTGGCTGCAGGGGCCCAAACACGTGGACTGTCTTCTGCTTTCCCAGGCCAGTAGGGAGCTGGATCGGAAGTGGAGCAGCAGGGACACAAACTGGCACCCTTATAGGATGCTGGCATTACGGGCGGTGCCTTTACCAGCTATGTCACAGTGCCAGCTCTGCTTTCAGTTTGAATATGTGCCTGGAGGTAGAATCGCTGGAGCGTATGATATTTCTAGTTTTCGGGTCTTCTATCTGCTGATTCACTCCCCAGATGGCCGCTGCAATAACCAGAGCCATGTCCATCAGGAGCCAGGAGCTTCTTCTGGTTCTCCCATGCGGGTGAAGGGGCCCAAGGACTTGAGCCATCTTCTACTGCTTTCCCAGGCCGTAGCAGAGAGATGGATTGGAAGAGGAGCAGCCAGGACTAGAACCAGCGTCTATGTGGGATGCCGGCGCCGCAGGCAGAGGATTAACCTGTGCCACAGCGCCAGCCCCAGTACTAGTCTTTTAGTCCTTGGGTCTCTTTTTTCCTTCAGTAAATTTTCTTGGTAGTCATTTTATTTTATTTTTTTTTCAGATTTATTTAATTATTTAAGAGGTAGCGTTACAGACGGTGGGGTCTTCCATTCACTATTTCACTCTGCAAATGGTCACAACTGCCAGAGCTGAGACTATTTGAAGCCAGGAGCTTCTTCTGGGTCTCGCACGTTGGGGCAGGGACCCAAGCACCTGGGTTTTCCTCTACTGCTTTCCCAGGCCATAGCAGAGAGCTGGATTGGAAGAGAAGCAGCTGGGACTAGAACCAGCACCCATGTGGGATGCCGGTGCTGCAGGTGAAAGCTTAACCTACCACGTCACAGCAATGGCCCCTCTTGGTAGTCATTTAAGAAGTAGTAAAAGTAGAATTGCTTTTGATGAAGAAGGTGGAGGTAGGGCACCAGGGACTAGAAGAGAGATGTGTGGCAGTCTCTCTGGGGAGCTGTGCGGTGGAGAGCCCCTCCCCGGCGCTTAGTCACTGAGTACTGTCATTGCTGTGACGAGGTCACACCTGCACAGTCAGGACAGGTTTGTACTACACCTGGGAGGTGATGTCTTCTTCTTCTTCTTCTTCTTTTTTTTTTTTTGACATGCAGAGTGGACAGTGAGAGAGAGAGATAGAGAGAAAGGTCTTCTTTGCCATTGATTCACCCTCCAATGGCCGCCGGGGCCGGTGCGCTGCGGCCGGCGCACCACGCTGATCCGAAGGCAGGAGCCAGGTGCTTCTCCTGGTCTCCCATGAGGTGCAGGGCCCAAGGACTTGGGCCATCCTCCACTGCACTCCCTGGCCACAGCAGAGAGCTGGCCTGGAAGAGGGGCAACCGGGACAGAATCCGGCGCCCTACTGGGACTAGAACCCGGTGTGCCGGCGCCGCAAGGTGGAGGATTAGCCTATTGAGCCACGGCGCCAGCCTGGTGATGTCTTCTTTAGGTTGAAAGGAATCTTTGTTTTCTTTTAAAGGCCATGGAACTAGCATCTCAAAGGACCAGAGAAGAAAGGTCTAACCAAGACCATGTGGATGAAGAGGTGGGTTTTATTGTTTCTTCTGAGCTCTTGGTACATTGGTGTTTTGAGATTTCTTTTTTTTTTTTTTTCCATATTGCTAAAAGGCATGATCTTAGTAGATAAGCAGTTTTTTAATAATGACGATGAGTATCCTTGAGACATAATCTGGTACCTAGGTCAGCTGCTCAAGTGGTGTAATTTACATTCCAGGATGTTAGTCCGCCCATCCGCCCGGCAGCCTGTTAGCCCTCGTTTGGATGGAGAACATTTATGAAGAGCCTGTAGGGCTCTGTGAGTCAAAAAGAAAAGGCCCGTTTTAGCCTGCACATGTGAATTCTTAAATGACTTCATGTGGATTCCAGAAATATTTTTATCAAGACATTTTTGGTAAAGGATCCGTAATAGGCATTTTTTTTAAATAGATTTATTTATTTATTTGAAAAGCAAAATTACAGAGAGACAGAGGCAGAGAGAGAGAGAAGTCTTCCATCCAGTGGTGTACTCCCCATATGGCTCCAATGGCTGGAGCTGTGCCAACCCATAGCCAGGAGCCAAGAGCTTCTTCCACGTCTCCCATGCCTGTGCAGGAGCCCAAGTCCTTGGGCCATCTTCTACTGCTTTCCCAGGCCATAGCAGAGAGCTGGATCAGAAGTGGAGCAGCTGGGACTTGAACTGGCACCCATATGGGATGCCAGCACTACAGGCAGCGGCTTCACCTGCTACGCCACAGCACCAGCTCCCATAATAGCCTGTTTTGTTTCTTTTTTGCATTCATGCAGCTTGTAGTGAGGTAGAGAAATACAAGGTGGCCTCTTTGACCGTAGTAGCTGGGAGGGTGATGGTGCCGTGAGGGATCACTGCCTCAGGCAGAGCCTGCGCCTGCCAGCGAACTCCATCCCTTCCCCTCCTGCTCTGTGGAATGCAGAAGGAAGAGAAGTTTTATCTAAGGATAACCTGGGGTCTGCTGTTTCCTTCCCTAAATCCTGTCAAAAGCTAGTGTTTTGTATTGGGAGCAGGTTACGTCCGGCACTGCCCACAGCAGATGCAGCAGCGGTGCGTGCACACAGCTTGGCTGCGAACCGTGTCGGAGACGGCGATTCGTCTGGACCCCTCCGTGGCTGGTGGGGCGAGGATGCTGAGGGAGTGTGAGATGTGGGTAACAGCTCTGGTGTGCTTTCCCTCCCTTGTAGGTGTTTAAGCGGGCATATATTCCTAGAACCCTGAATGAAGTAAAAAACTACGAGAGAGATGTGGACATAATGATGAAATTGAAGGAAGAGGACATGGCCTTGAATGCTCAGCAGGATAATGTGAGGAGCTGGGTCTGTGTGGCAGGCAGGTGCATGAGAGAAAGGCACTGCCCACACTTGGGACCTTTGGACTTCCGGTCTCTGGGATGTTGGATGTCTGTGTGCATGGTGGATGGGAGGGGAGTTTGTTGGTGTTTGTTGGGGGATGACACAACAGACTAGTTAGAGGAAAGGGGAGGTTTGTGTATATGTCGGTGTTGTAAGTGGCTGTTCTAGATCCATCAGCCATATATATTTCATTAACATACATATTTTGGGAAAAACTTTAAAAAAAAAAGATTATTTATTTGAAAGTCAGAGTTAGAGAGAGAGAGCGAGGTCTTCCATCCAATTGTTCACTCCCCAGTTGGCCACAACGGCCGGAGCTGCGCCGATATGAAGCCGGGAGCCAGGAGCTTCTTCTGGGTCTCCCACGTGGGTGCAGGGACCCAAGGACTTGGGCCATCTTCCACTGTTTTCCCAGGCCATAGCAGAGAGCTGGATCGGAAAAGGAGCAGCCGGGACTAGAACTGGCACCCATATGGGATGCTGACACTGCAGGCAGCGGCTTTACCTGCTACAACACAGCACCGGCCCCAAAATTTTTTTGAAATATAGGTCAGCTAATGAGAGAAGAATGTAATTATTGGAGAGGGTAGATAGATGGCATTTCCTTAATGGAGTTCCAAGTTAGCGTTTGCTGTCTTCCCATTGATCACAGATGTTCACCTGTGCAGATCTCCAGGCTGGAAATGACCTGTGGGCCTGGCCTCCCTGGTATACAAGAGTGACAGCCATGTCATGGGCTTTCTGTGTTACTCAGATGAACCCAGTCACAGAAGATAAAGTAGCCCACTGTGTTCTTGATTGTGCAGTGTGTCTAGTTTGATGATGTTTCTTGTTTTCTTCCCTCTCGGTTACAAGATCCTGTACCAGACCGTCACAGGGTTGAAGAAGGACCTGTCAGGCGTGCAGGAGGTATGGAGCCCATGTGCTACTTGTTTGTTATGGGGAAACCCTTGCAAAGGATAGAGAATGGAGTGTAGTGCGTTACTAGAATTCTATTGGTGTTGTTTTATGTTGTTACTAAATAAAATACTAAGTTTATGTTGTTACTAAATAAAATGCAAAGCCTATGCACATTTTCAGAAGTGCTCTCTTTTATGTTTCTAGCCATAATACTAAGAGCGGTCGGCTTATTCCTGATTCTGTCCTGGAAATTCTCCCTTGTCGTATGTGAGGCGTTTGTCTTTCCTGTGTCCTGCCTTCATTTGTGGAGTTTAAACTAGGGACCGCCTTGTGCTTCTTGGTTGTTTTACGGCCAGTGTTCAGAAGTAGTCTGGACTGTGTCTACTCCAAGGCGTTAACTCTTGAGAGCAGCCCTGTGCTGGATTCCTGCAGTGTTCTTTCTTCAACCTGGTCTTCTTTTACCTTACATTTTTTGAGGAGTGGGACTAAGGAATTCCATTTTAGGTAGTGATAAAGGCTTCGCTCTTTCTTCAATCTTAAGGGCATAAGTGAAGGATTACTGCTTTTTGAAAGTTGACTGTCGTTTCTGTAGGAAGAGTGAAGTGAGTGAAACACCAGTGTTCTGCATTTCTGCATTACAAATGACAGGTGTTGTAGGGAAGTGGTGCCTTGGATTCCAGAGCAGGAATATTCAGTGACAACTGGCTAGAAACTCTTTCTGTACAGTTGCCTCTTAAGGATCTGTTTTCTTGTAAAAAGGAATCCTTACTCTTAAAAAATGTTTCTGTTGCTTTAAAAACCTGCTTGATTACAGGAAAAATGAAATTTTCTTCTTTTTGGAAGATAATCCTTCCCTCTCGATTGGATTAGCTTATTGCTAGCAATGTGGTTTGTAGGAAAACACCCGGGAAGTCAGCCAGACCAGCCTTTGTTCTTGCCTCTCTGTATGTTCACATCCTTCCAGACCCCAGCCAGCCTCTCTGAGGTGCTGAAAGAAGCAGAACAGGTGTCGTGGGCTTGGCCGCTCAGGAAAGCTCCGTTCAGCTGTGCTCGTGAGCGGCAGTGGCATGGGTGCCCTGGTCTCCCTCCCTGGTGTCGGTTCTGTTGTTTGTCATCGTGTTGTTCTGAGTACACCTGCAAGGCTGAGATCTGAATTCTGGCCTTAGCACATTCACTTACAACGATAACAGGTCGGTTAGGGTAACATTATCTGTAATGATTTCTAGGTCCCTGCTCTGCTAGAAAACCAAGTTCAGGACAAGACTTACTCTGACTCAGAAGGAGCCGGCAGCTCTGAGTGCTCCGACACAGACTCTGAAGAGCAGGGCGACCACGCCCACTGCAAGAAACACACCACTGACCCTGATGTTGATAAAAAGGTTGGTCAGGAGCTTAAATCCCTTTGCTCCAATTCATTTCTTGGCTCCACGCCTGCTCATGGCCTGGAAAAAGCAGTGGAAGATGGCCCCAGTATTTTGGGCCCCTGCCACCTATGTGGGAGACCCAAGTGAAGCCCCTGGCTTTGGCCTGGCTCAGCCCCATTGCGGCCTTCTGGGGAGTGAACCAGCAGATGAGATTCTCCCTCTGTCTCTTCTTCCCTCTCTAATTGTTTCGAATAAAGAAATATCTTTTTTTTTTTTTTTTAAAGTGGAAAGACCGTTTCACCCCAGCTTCTACCACCAACTCCTAATTTTTTTCATTCATCTTATATGCTACTTTCACTTTCAGCTCCTTACATACAATGTTATTTAGTTGTACTGCGAATACACTGAATGATGAAAATCTGTGTTTTGTTTGTTTGTTTTTTACAGGAAAGAAAAAAGAAGGTCAAGGAAGCCCAGAGAGAGAAAAGAAAAAACAAAATTCCTAAACATGTAAAGAAAAGGAGGGAGAAGACGGCCAAGACCAAAAGGGGCAAATAGCACAGGGCCACCGCGTGAGCGGGCGTTTGCAGCGCGTCTGGCAGGTGGCCGACGGCCTGCAGCTGCACTGTCGCTGTGGCACTGTGAAGACGGTAGAGAGCTGTCGGGCAGGGATGCGCAAGTTCTGAGCTCCCGGTGCCCCGAGGCAGGCACTTTGGTGTTGGCAAAGGACTCATTTAAACTGTTGTAGAGAAGAGCTTCACACATTCTTATTTTTCTATTTTGTCTCCTGCAAGTATGTTTTTGGAAGCATCATAAATATTTAAATGTAAGTGTGCTTCAGACAACCCTGGGAGATTGTTTCTGCTCTCTTTTTACATGCCAAAGACCGTCTGAAATTATTTCATCATAAGGCCATGGCATATAGTATAAAAGGAATTTTCCTTTTAGGAAATCCAGCTGGCCATTGATGTTGGTTTGTTGCACCTCTGCTCTGTGTTCGTTTTTGGTCGTTTGTGATGTACTCACACTGCATCTTTTAAAAAATTTTTCTGAGAGGCAGAGAGAAGTGCGCTCTCGTACTAGTACACTCCTCAAATATCTGCCATGGCCAGGACTGGGCTAGGCTGAAGCTGGGAGCCGGGAGCGCCATCCAGACCTTCTGTGTGGGTGGCAGGAGCCCAATGACTTGCGCCATCACTGCTGCTTTCCAGGGTGTGCATCAGCAGGAAGCTGGAGTCAGGAGTCAGTGCCAGCAGGGACCTAGGCACTCCTAATAGGGGATACAGGCATTTTTTTTTTTTTTTAAAGATTTATTTATTCATTTGAAAGAGATACACAGAAAAAGGAGAGGCAGGGAGAGAGAGAAGTCTTCTATCCACTGGGTTCACTCTCCAGTTGACCACAGTGGCCGGAACTGGGCCAGTCCGAAGCCAGGAGCTTCCTCCAGGTCTCCCACGTGGGTGCAGGGGCCCAAGGACTTGGGCCATCCTCTACTGCTTTCCCAGGCCATAGCAGAGAGCTGGATTGGAAGTGGAGCAGCCGGGACTTGAACCAGCGCCCGTATGGGATGCCGGCACTGCAGGTGGTGGCTTTACCCGCTATGCCACAGCACTGGCCCCAGGATGCAGGCATCTTAATCAGCATTTTAACTACTAGACTGAATACCTGTGTCACACTTCATCGACCTCAGTTTTGTATTCACATGCGTGACGTGTTCATTTATTCATCGAGTATCTGAGGATTTTAAGTGCTGTGATATCACAGTGAACAAAATATAAGCATTGCTACCTTTGAGAAGACATTAAACAACAGGTAAACTGTATCAGTAGGTGATAAATTCTATGATGAGAAATAATTCAGAAAAGAGATACTAAGGTGTTAGGGGTTTGCAGTTTAAACTAGGGTTCTTAGAAAAGCCACCCTTAGAGGTGCCAGTACTTGACGAAGGTGTGAGTCATATGTGCATCACGAAGGGAGAGCATTCCAGGCAGAGCGAACAGCCTGGGGGAGGCCGCGTGGCAGGAGAGGGCTCGATGGTCCAGAATCCGGGTGCAGCCTCGTAGTTGAGGGAGAAATGAAATGAAATCCAAGAGCCTGGGGCTGTGGAGGGTTTTGAGCAGGGGAGTGATAGGTTCCGACCCCCTCGAGAACTACCGGGAAGCCAGGATGAGAGAGAGACTGGATGTGCTTACTGTTACAGCCCACGTGAGATGCTGACGGCTCCGTCTAGGATGGTAGCTGTAGACACGGAGAAGTGGTTGATGTGCTGGGGAATGGGCAGAGGGGGGAGAGGTGACTTCACATGACTCACGCAGCTGAGATGGTCGCGTTGTCACATTCTATGATGTGAAGTGATGTGGGTGGGGCGGGTTTGGGGATAGGAGGGTGAGAGCCAACGAAAGCTTAGGTTGCAGCAAAGCACAAATCTTAAAATCCCTATTTTTATATTTTTAACCATATACTTTGTCAGAAATGGTTGTTAGCCATTGTGTTCAGTTACTTTGTTTAAACCCCTAGTTTCCATGTACACTGAGACCTACGCCACTGTGTGTGATGGTAGCTTGCTGAAATAGCAGTTGAGCTCTTAAAGTGATAAGCACACTTTATGATGTTTGTAAAATCTCCCTTCTTGAATAAACTCTCAGAGTATGAAGTGTAGTTTCAGTGAGACACAAAAGTACTGTCCCAAATGACATAGGCTATAATTAACGCAAGAAGAGCAAAACGGATTTGGCAACCCTCTATACATTTGGGGATTTGGACCAATTCTAGTATTTGCGTTGACTTTACTCTGTGACAGCGTATGTTCCTATTAGGCGCTCAGGCTCCTCGGGCACCTGTCGCTGTATCCAGTGCAATTTCTAGGTTTGGAATCAACTCTAGACCCAGAGGAACGTTGACAGGAATGAGGGGCCGTTCATTGTCTTGTGTTGCTATGGGTGGGGGGAAGTAGTTCCCCAAGTGTGAGGGTCTGGGCTGTCGGGGAGTTCTCACTTGAGGCACATTCTGCGGATGGCTCTGCAGCTGGGGCACTGCCTCCCCGTTTGGGTTCTGGGCTGGAAGGCTGTGTGCTGGCCAAACCACGCGTCTGACGTTGTTTCCCTCGTTTCTATCTTCTTGTCCAAAGGCTTGGTAGAAAGAACCTGGGCTGAGGCAGACTGCTTAGAAGGCTCCTTGTCTTGTCTTATGGTTGAATTTGATCTCCTGACAGGTTTTCCTGTTAATGGGTTATGGTTTATACAGCTATTTTCCATTTGGAAAGATGAGGTTTGGGACTCTTGGCCCCAAGCTGAAAACACTTTGTCAATTGATGTGTTTGATTTTCTGTCATATATTGTTGGTTTTTTTTTCCTGTTACTCCACATACTTGTCAGGCAAGTGTTTCTGAAGGTTCACTTCGAGAAGCGGAATGGAGCAGAGTTGCTGTCCTTTGCTGGACGCTGCTCTAGCTCTCATTCTTGAAGCAGAGCCTCGCTCCGCCTGTGGTCTTGGAAGAGGTGGGAGCCGTGGCTGCTGTGAGCCCAGGTCTGGTCAAGGAGGAGCCCGTGGTTCTTGGCCGACATCAGCTCTGCGTCAGCCTTGTCTGTAGTTTGGTGAAGAGCAGACTCGAGAGCAGCTTGCAGCTGTGCTGAGCGTGGGCCGGCGGCTGTGCTGCTCCCGTGCACTGGCACCCGAGCTGTGGCACCCGAGCTGTGGTACCCGGGCTGTGGTACCCGGGCTGTGGCTGCGTCTCGACTGAGCGCATCTCGGTGCGGCTCTCCTGGCACTCGCCTTTTGGCTCAGAAACGAGATGAAATGTGGAATGCCAGGCCCCTGGATGATCTCTCTAATTTTTATTTGTCTATCAACTTGGTAAGGAGAAACCTTGCATGCTGTGTGCCTTACTTGACTCTGAAGTTTCTGTTTTGCTGGTAGAAGGAGCAGCAGCAGGAGCCACCTCCCTCGCAGTGCAGCACCTGTGAAGATGTGTGTGAGCTCACAGTATGGGGTGGTGTTCAGCTTTGCCTTGTTGTCCCTTGACTTGGGTTGGGTTCCCACGTTCCCCCCGTTTCAGATAGAATGGTTAACTTAATATCCTTTGGGTTGTGTTGCCTTGGAGGTATGAGTGTTCCAGAGGAACGCACGGTGTCTGGTGCCAGGTTACTAAGGAGGGCACGGCTCGCTTGCGTCTGTGCCCTCCTGAAGCCTTAGTCCCTGTTTGTGCTGTGAAAGCCGCTGGACTTGAATTTGGAGAATCTGACTGAATTTGTGGAGTGGTTGGCTTGGGTTTTATCGCTTTGGTTGCTCGCCAGGGGGCAGCGGCCTTAGAGAGCTTGCATAGTAGGCACGTGGCCACAAAACTCTTTTTCTCTTTTCACAGAGTCAGGGGTGGCTTCTGCCACAACTGTCTCCAGACTTGGAGATAGCTTCCCATGTCTTGTATGGTGACACAGGTTTGTTTCAAAGGCCGGTCACCTTTTATCAGCTTTTAGCCTTCACAAATCCCATTGGTAGTTGTCACGGTAGGTCTGTCCAGGCCAGAACACTGAAGTCAGGGTGCTGGAATGCAGAGAGGGAGCGAGTGGCGCTGCCCAAGGAGGGCTGCACTTGCTGGCGTGGCTAGGGTGCAGCCCAAGGTGCGGTGGCCAAGGCTGGGCAGCAGATGCAGGCACTGACGGCTGGAAGGATGGCTTGTGGCATAGTCGCCTGGGTTCCGACAGACAGGGTTTAAAGTGTCCGTGACACAGCCTAAAGTTCAAGCGTGTGAGGAAGGGGCTGGGGGAGAGGGGCACACCAGCGCGACCAAGGGGGTGGCAGAGGAGGTGGAGGACTCGGGAAAGCTAGGGTTCAAGTCAAGAAGGAGCAGAGCCCCCTCACTGGCATCTAAGCATGGGTTCCAGAGGGCACCGTGGAGTGTTTGGAGATTTGGAAAGTAGGGAGAGAAGTCTGATTTTTCACTTCCCTTGGGTGAGGCCACATTGCGGAGTTGGACAGATCCGTTGTCTGGCTCGCAGTGACCACCTGGGGGACAGCACCTGGGGGACAGTAGGTCATAGCAGCCCCTCCTTCGCGGCCTCATTGCAAAGGATGCTGGGAGAGCTGATGGGGAATTTGCAGTGGATGGGTCAGGTCGATGATCCCTGACCTCATTGCTCATGGAGTGAGAGTAGAAGAGCCAGACCCTCGATGTGCTGCTGTGGTGAGGGAGGGAGGGCACAGAGCCCCTGGAAAATGCCTCGCCGCCCCAGAACACTGAACCTGAACCTGTGGCCTCCACACGTAACCAGCAGGGCGCGGGTACGGGGCAGGGGAGAATACAGCCAGCCGCATCTGGAACGAGGAGAGAAAGGGGGAGCCGACACAAAGCAAAGGTCTTGAGCTTGATCCCAGTGCCTGGACTTCATCTGGGTCCCGACAGGGCAATTATTAAAAATATTTTTAACAAGGAAATTTTTAAAATGAATCAGGTATTAGATGGTAGTATAGAATGATTTTATCAGATTTTATTTGATGTCATAGTGATGCTATGGTTACATTTTTAAAAATTGTGTTCCATGTGAGTGCAATGTCTTATAAAAAAGTGGGATTGCTTTAACAAGTATTTTTACTGCATTGCTATTTGTAAAGTAGTGGCAGATGAAACATTAGCACAATGTTAACTGCTAAAGCTGCTTAGTAGGCTTGTGAGGGATTCATTATACTGTTTGTATAGGAAAATTTCTAATAGAGGTTCTGGAAAATGAGTCAAGGGACCAGTGTTGCTCCGCTTCCAATCCAGCTTCCTGCTAATGCACCTGGGAAGGCAGCAGGAGACGGGCATTGGAGGAGTGAACCAGCAGATGGGAGATCTGTCTGTCCTCTCTCACCCTAGCTCTTGCCTTTCAAATAGTTTTAAGTGGATCAATGTATATTGAGTGCTTTGGGATTTTTCACGTGTTAGTCCTGCATTTTACAAATGTCTATTTTTCTGTAGCTATTCTTGCAAACTAATTTACATACTGAATTTGCTTACCTCGTCAGGTGCCTTCCCTCCTGTCCAGCCTCTGAGTAGGCTGTAAGCTCTGGAAGGGCAGGGCTTTTTGTTCCATTTTGTATCCCAGCACTAGACTCGTGCCTGAAACGTAAATATTCAGTAAACACTCAAGTGTCTAATATGTTGTGTCTCCGAAACAGAGAGGAGGCCTGTATGTATTGAAAACACCCCTCATGTTAATAAAAATGAGAACTTCTTATTGATGGTCTGTTTGCATCCTCTAGCCCTGCCCCCGGTAACCAGGGGTGACCAATCTGCTTTGGAACTGGGGGTCCAGAGCCTGCCGTTGGTCAAACCCTTGTACAGTACTTAAGCTAATGGGACCTATGTATTCAGAACTGTATAATAAAAATAATCTTCTTGTTTTGAGTTTGATCTTGAGAGACTGTTTTGAGTATCAACCAAAAAAGTGAGCTGTGAATTAATTACCCAATCCGAAACTACAATACTTGAAGACACCAAGGCTCATATTTATACACTTTGCCATCTTTTCCCAAGTGTTAGACTGAAAAAAAAAAAAAAAACAGAAAAGTTGATTTCAAGATGTGGTCCTGAGTTTAACAAGATCTCTGCTTGCGTGGGAAGCAAATTGTCACCCAGGCGCACGGTCATGATCCTTCCCTTCAACGGGACGTAAACTAGGACCACGGCTCCAGACAGGTGTGGTTGGTGGTAGCCAGCGCTGCCGGTCTGCTTTCTCCTTAAGTGATCCTCATACTGGGAGGTCTTTTCCTGCTGCCTCTGCAGATGATGAGACGGCCACAGCACCAAGTTTAGCCCATTTTGTATCCAAAGTCCATCTTGTACCCAAGACCCCTTCCTTGGCCATTGCTGGTGACCAGCTGTGGGACGAGGCGAGCCACTTTCCTTTGGGGGGAATTCCTCTTCCGTACGTTGAGGGAAGGGGAGCAGATGATCATACATTTTCTTTCAAATCTGTTATTTAAGTGCATGGGTCCCTAACACCCATGGGAATACCAGGGGAAACCTTCCTGGTTCCTAGCTTCAGTCTGCCCCAGTCCTAGTTGTTGTATTTGGGGAGTGAGAAAGAAATGGAGCGCTCTCCCCTTTCCCTCTCAGTAGTTTTTAAACTACAGACTTATGAGGAACTGCTTGTATGTATTGAACACTTCTCATGTTAATAAAAATGAGAACACTGCTGCCACCCAGGGACCGCATTGGCAGTAGGCTACAGTCAGCTGGGAATCAACCCAGGCCTTCCGACCTGGGATGCCGGTGTCTTCACCACTAGGCTGAGCACCTGTTCAGTGTGTGTAGTTTTTAACAAAATAAGAGTTACCACCTAATGGTAGTACTTCAGTATAAATGATAAATACATCTTCAAAAAGTGGGACTCATTGCTTTTAAATGTATAGGTTTAAATATATATATATGTTTTTAAAATTGATCACAATAATACCTACATTTGAAAAATAGCAAATAGGCAATTAATGTTTGGTGTGTGTATATATGTTTGTGACTTCTTGAAATGCTAATTGAGAGCTACTAATGTATAGAATTGCTATAAAGACAATATTTTAGAAAATGTTCATAAAGGAGTAAGGAACAAAGTTAAGTATTAAAATATGTAAATAAAACAATTTTAAAATAAAAATGCTGTTATTTAAGAAAAGTGTCCAATCCCTAATTTCAAAGTGACCAGGTTGAAATTGGATCTCTTAACAGGGCTTGCTTAATAAAAATAAAATAAATGGGTTTGAAGTGCCAGTTGTCACACAGGCGGGCTCTGCTCTCTACAGGAATCGCTCTGAGAAGCAGCTTCTGGCACTGGGCCGCTTTCATTTTGCAGGAGGAATTCGGCTGCTTGTGCTTGGCGGTTCTTTGTGCTCCTCTAGAGGGAGCTGTGCACTTGCGTTCTTAGATTCAATGGGAGCAGCGGGAAGGGCCGCATGGCCAAGTTCGTCTCAGCTTTCCTCTACAAGAAGTATCAGACTGTGGACGCTGATGACATTGGCACGTATCTGGTGGTTGATGTTGGAGTGGATCCTCATCGAAGAGCAGAGGAATTCAACAACGTTTTCCAGAAGTTGTAACATCTCATCTGGAGCTGTTGGTTTTACTTTTTAGATAGCACACACACTTTAATGGAAGGATAACAACAAACATCGATGGGTGGGGGTCAGTTGTCTGGCTGAGAGTCACCACGCGTCTCTGGGCGACGATGCTGGGTTGATGCAATGCTGCATGCGGAGGCCGCCGGCCACGTGTGGCTACTGCGCCCTCACACTGTGGCTGCTGTAAGGCACTGGGTTCTGAAGGTTGTGAGAAGAAGGGACGCGAAGCAATAGTAATTTTTCGAGGTGGAGTGCATGGTAAACCAATATTTTGCATAGATTGGATCAGATGTACATTGACGCTCACCAATTTTTTACTTTTCTGGGGACAGAGCGTTTCAAATTCGCGATGGATATGTGATGCATGCAAAGAAAGGAATGAGCGAATGGTCACCTTTACCCCAAAACTCTCTAAGCCAATCTTCTGTCCGTATTTTCTGAAATTTCACATTTGGGAATATTTATTATTGCTGAAGAATGAAAGCAGTGGAGAGAGAAAATTGCCATTCCAGTTGATTGAGATACAGTGATACGTAGACAGTAAGCTTACGGCACCTTGTTACCAGAGACTGTGCTGCCACGGGTACTGAGTCAGGGAGGAGCACAGGGCCCCACGCCGCCTTCCTCGCCCCTGCAGGCCTGGCATCGCTTTCAAGTCTCTTGTTCTTACCTAAAAGGCGAACTTCTCGTTTGTGATTTCTACGGAGTTGTTTTGGAAGCTTGTAGTGGCCATCTAGAGATGTGGATGTCCCAGGCACCTGTGCCCCACCGTCGAGCCCTGCCTGCCCGGGCACTTCAGGACTGTCACAGTGGTGCCGTCCAGGGCATTGCCGGTGAGGCCGGGGTGCTGGGAATTGTGTCCGTTGGAGGACAATGGTGTCTGTTGTGTTGCAGTTCAGCATGAGTGGGATACAGGGCAGATAAGTCACTTGGTGCACAAGAAGTGTTGATAAAACTAAATGCTATTTTCAGTGAATTCCTAGTAGGTGCCATTCCAATAAAGGATAGGGGAGCTAAAGGGTTGTTTCTTGGCAAATGGTGAACGCTCCACAGAACCAGACCTTCTATCTCAACATTGCAATGATACTTCACAGATTTGTTGATACTCACACAGCTGTTACTAGGACGCCATGTTCTGTAATGTTTCAGGTTTGAGTTAAGAAAACCTGAATTGTGGGCCGATGCCGCGGCTCAGTAGGCTAATCATCCACCTTGCGGCGCCGGCACACCAGGTTCTAGTCCTGCTCGGGGCACCAGATTCTGTCCCGGTTGCCCCTCTTCCAGGCCAGCTCTCTGCTGTGGCCCGGGAGTGCAGTGGAGGATGGCCCAAGTGCTTGGGCCCTGCACCCCGTGGGAGACCAGGAGAAGCACCTGGCTCCTGCCTTCAGAGCAGCGCAGTATGCCGGCTGCGGCGGCCATTGGAGGGTGAGCCAACGGCAAAAGGAAGACCTTTCTCTCTGTCTCTCTCACTATCCACTCTGCCTGTCAAACAAACAAACCTGAATTGTAATCCAGGATCTGCTACTCTTTTTGGTTTTTTAGGATTTTATTTTTTAAATTTATTTGAAAAGCAGAGTGACAGAGGGAGGGAGAGACAGAGAAAGAGATCATCTTCCAGCCACAGGTTCACTCCCCAAATGGCCACAACAACCAGGGCTGGGCCACGGGAAAACAGGAGCCTGAAACTCCATCTGGATCTCCCATATGGGTGGGACTGGGGCCATCATATGCTGCTTGCCAGGCACATCGGCAGGCACCTGGATCGGAAGTTGAGCAGCTGGGACTCGTGTGGGATGCTAGTATTGCAAGCCATGGCTTAACCTGCTTCACAATGGCATCCCCATTTTTGAGAACCTATTAAGGATTTTTAAATGGTTCTTATTAAGCAACCTATTCAATACTATCAGTTAAGAGCAAAGGCACATAGAGGAAGAGAGCAAGACAAAGATCTTCCATCTGCTGGTTCACTCCCCTAAATGCCTGGAACGTCAGGACTGGGCCAGGCTGAAGGTAGGCACCTGCGTCTCCATCAGAGTCTTCCATGTGCCTGGAGGGACCCAGGTTCTTGAGCCACCTGCTGCTGCCTCCCAGCCTGTGCATTGGCAGGAAGCTGGACTCAGGACTCGAACCCGGCCACTGTGATATGGGACGCAGGGGTCCCAAGCAGTGTCCTAGCCTTTGGGCAAACACCCTCTCAGCAAAGTGGTCTTTAAGACCTTCGTGCACCTTTTGTTGTTGTTGTTTTTAAAGATTTTTTTAAAATTTATTTGAAAGAGTTAGAGAGAGGTCTTCCATCTGGTTCACTCCCCAAATGGCTGCAAGGGCAAGGCTGGGCCAGAGCGAAGCCAGGAGACAGGAGCTTCTTCCAGGCCTCCCATGTGAGTGGCAGGGCTCCAAACACTTGGGCCATCTTCTGCTGCTTTCCCAGGTGCATTAGCAGGGAGCTGGATCAGAAGTGGAGCAGCGGGGACTCGAGCCAGCATCCGTATGGAATGCCGGCACTGTAAGTGGCATATGGTGTGTCCATATGCTGCCCCAGCGCCAGCCCCCTAGTGCACCTTTCGGAAGAGAGGGTCACTGTGGAAGTGACCTTCACCGCCAACACCCTGCTGCTGGAGATGCGTCCGCGAGAGCAGATGTGGGCTTTCATTCATTTGGAAATGAGGTCACACTCATTTGTGACTGGCTCACTGGAGGCAGCGGAGTGCCTGCCGGGTGTGGTGGCAAGTGAGGCGGAAAGCGGGTGGACAGGTCCAGGAGCAAACGTCCTGACTTCACAGTTTTCTTTGGGACCGGCCCAGCCAGCCCCAGCCTCAGACAGCGGGAGGAGCTGCGTTGCTCTCAGCACCTTCCCATCTCTTGGGAAGCCACTCCCTGGGCGGCCCCGGGGACCTGAGCACGCTGCCGTGGGCTCGGGTGGAGCTGTGGCCCACACCTAGCAGCCACGTCCCCGCTGAGGTGGAGGCTCCTGCTCTTCCAGAGCCTGTGACGTCAGCCCAGCGTCGGGTCCACGCTGCCTGAGGACTCCAGGTGTTTCTTGCCTGGAAGCCAAGTGGGGGAGGAGAGCCAGGTTTTGCTGTTGTTTGGGGGGAGTCTGTCTGTCCTTTTGGAGTGTTCATTACCCAGCCCAGGGTGACACAGCTGGCAGCTCTTCGTCTTGTCCGGAGCCTGGCTCTGGTTAGGCTGCCCCTGCCCTCCTGCTGTAGCTTCCTCCCTGACTTCCCAGCTTACAAGCCCCTCGGAGTGGGGGGTTAATTCCAAGACCCCTATGGATATCAAAATCCACAGACGCAATAGCGTAGTATTTGCAGAAAGTCTACGCACATCCTCCTGCATACTTTGCATCATGCCTAGAGTCCTTAATTCCTAGAACAATAGACGATATGTAAAGAGCTGTTGCACTGCATTGATTAGGGGATAACAGCAAGAAACAAAAAGGTCTGCACACATTCAGTG